CGCAAACGAATGGTTTCTTGTGGGAACAGGCCACGTCATGCCATGCGACGCCATCTTGGTAGAAGTTGTTCAAGATGGCCACGCAGGCCTCGTCTTCGCCGAAACCAGAGTTATCTTGGGGTTCTCTATTGTCGGGCTGAGGTCGTCCTCCGCCTCCAGTTGAGGACCATGTTCCTATGAAGGACAAAGAATACACTAGCGTCATCAACGGGTTCTTTTAAAATAATGTTAACATTATGCTTTTAAAAAACAGACATAGATGTCGCGCGTATCCACAACAGAGCCACTGCACTCCGCCGTAGTACTGTACAATGTCTTTCATACCAAACCGAAGCTGCGAAGTACAACATTTACTTCAGTACAATATGCCTTTGAGTAAGGCACATGACAAAATTTGGGTGCAACCTGTTTTATTGTGAAATGAGACCACATTTCTCTCCAATATTTTAAAGTTTATTTTGGTTTTCGCGGAAAGATTGAATACATGGAATCTGAATTTTTTTTAAATTACTTGGTATGCTGTAATTAGACCTATTTCACTGGATCATCAAATACCGTGATGGGACTTGAAGTTTCTGTTCGTGACTTCAATAAGTGGTTTCCTGAATAGGTTTCAATAATTAGATCCTGCTTGTCGATGTCTGGAAATTCTACAGCAGGTGATCATATTAATATTTACATGTGAAATTTGTTTACCAAATCCAATGTACCTGCGCTTGGATTTTTTATCGTCAAGGTGAACGATTTGTACGGCATAATCGAATTTAGAGCTTGTTTCTGTATTAAAAATTAAAACAAAAATTTCGCACAGGTTTTTTTGTTGTTTTGTTTCTTACCTGCGAATCTGCGGTTGGTAGGGAACATCTTGACACCAGAGCCAGACCAGAACCATCCGTTGATGAGGATTGGTCGCAAATCAGCACGGTCACAACCATCAAAGTTGCATTTGCGACCGGAAGTCCAAATGAACTCAACATTGTCTGTGGAAGAATCAGAGAGAAAAACAGTGAATGTGAGAATAAACAATGCTTGACTCACAAAGAGGAATAAAACTACTGTGCAATGTTAAACTCTGAATGCAAGCTAAAAGAACAGTACTTTCAGGAGTTGAACTGAGAGAAATTAGTTTTCAGGAATTTACAGAACACAAAAAATAATTAGAACAAGCTCAAGCAGCTGGGCTGCAGCCAGGATGTTTTTTTGTCCCAAGCATAAGATATGTATTTTTTAAGAAAAGACAAAGTGGTCAGTTTTGATACACTATTAGAAGTTTGGAAAGATACAATTTGACAATAGCTTCTCTTCATGGAGATCCGCTTGGGTTTTAAACACAATTGCAAGAGCCTAGAGTTTGAAAGAGTCAGAAATCAGGAAAAGAAACCATGAATGACAAAACCTCAAAGAGAAAGGCTTTTCTTCTCAGGAATGTCCTTGCAGAGCCACAGTCCTCAGAGAAGGACAAATTCTGCTAAATTTTCAAATGACTGAGGATTAGGAGAAAATTTCACTTTTTGGGCGCCATTTTGTTGTTTTGCTGCCGTTTTTCCAACAGTGAATTCAGAGTTTTCATTTTCTCCGTACCTACCTTCATCCTAACATATTTTTCACATCAGCATGAAAAAAAAAGAAATAAGCTGTACAGTACATGGATATTAAAAGAAAAAAATACATCCCAAAAAGTGCAACTGCACAACTGATATAAATACATACACTTTCTCTTCTTCCTTGTTTACAAAAAATATCAATAATAAGAATTGCAGCATACAGCAATTACTGAACCCAAATTAAAGCATGTCATGGTGTTCAACCTCCTCCCAGGTATAAGGTTTTAGTTACAATTTGGAGAGAATCTTTGATGAGAAATCATGTAATAGTCAACCCAGTGCCAAGCACAAAAATGTCCGTTTTGGGTCCAATTTTCATCCAAGGCAACTTATCCAAGAATCTTGCCAAAAACGGACAAGCCAAAAACAGACAATTTTCATCCAAGGCAACTTATCCAAGAATCTTGCCAAAAATGGACAAGCCAAAAACAGACAATTTTCATCCAAGGCAACTTATCCAAGAATCTTGCCAAAAACGGACAAGCCAAAATTGGACAATTTTCATCCAAGACAACTTATCCAAGAATCTTGCCAAAAACAGACAAGCCAAAAATGGACAAGCCAAAAATGGACAATTTTCATCCAAGGTGACTTATCCAAGAATCTTCCCAAAAACAGACAAGTTGCTTTGGATGAAAATTGGACAACATGTCCAATTCTGATCCAAAAGTCATCCAAAAGTGGTTGTCTTCTGGATGACTTTTGGATCACAAACAGACCAGTTTTGGAGGGATTTGGGACATCTTTTGGATAAAGATGGGACAATGTGTCAGATTTTTATCCAAAAGATGTCCCAATTTCCTCCAAAACTTTTCTTTTTCTTTTTTAATTCTGCTAAATTGTAATAAAATTTTCCACCCACCTGGGAATTTCACATTCCTTATAATTATTCCTTCATGCTCTACTGTATATAGATTTTCTAGACGCTTTATTGATATTCATATTGCCTGGTTATGCATATTATCTAGTTAGTGACTGCTCATAATTTCCTATCTACAATTAATCAATTACCTAATCCACTACCTAGCTAACCTACCTATCTATGCTAAAGTATTGCTGAAGCATTATTTAAAGGAATTGAGAAGTTGTTACCAAACTCAGAATTGAACCCAGGACCTCTGGATGGGGAGTTGAACCCCATAGGCAAACAGCTACAGCCCACTATATAAAAATTTGAAAAGAATTTCGCACAATAGCGTAATAATATGAATCACGATGAAAAATACAATTTCAGAATTCATTATCATGATCATTAGCTCATCGACAAATGAATTCCATATTTTATTTGTTTTATTCCACTATCGAGAGTTGGTTTGAAATAGAATTTAATCTTCGAGAATTCAGAAGACTGACAGAATCACGGTGCATATAAAGGTAACGTTATGTTCACATGTGATGATTTGCATATGTTCACAATTGAATCAAACAAATTCCGACTTGGAAGAAAAGTTATTCTTCAAATGTTGACGCATCAAAGGTTTTTTTGCGAAAAATTATTGCAAATGCGGCTGAACCGATGTTTTTAAAAAAAAAATGTGTGGGGGGTTTGAAATTCTGCCCGAAATAAGTAGGTCTCCGAAAATTTTCAATTTTCCGCCACACTTCTGCTTAGGAATAATAACGGTTTCATTTTTTTTTTTCAAGGGAAAACCATCGGTTTTCTGAAAGTCTATTTTTTTTCTTGTTTTGTGACACGCACCAACTTTTTGGCTGATCGACCGGAGCAATGCACTATAGGCGAAAGGTGGCACTTTCTTCGCTCGGCGTTTTAATTGCATTATCTCGGTTTCGGAAACTCGAGGTGCNTTTTTTTTCTTGTTTTGTGACACGCACCAACTTTTTGGCTGATCGACCGGAGCAATGCACTATAGGCGAAAGGTGGCACTTTCTTCGCTCGGCGTTTTAATTGCATTATCTCGGTTTCGGAAACTCGAGGTGCAGCTTAAAGGTTTCTCTCTTCTTTTTTTTTTCAATTCATTTAAATGTACGATTCCTTGCTTTATTCCTTTCCCTCGTCTTTCCTACGCGATCGTCGGGGCCCCCGTTCTTCTTTTGTGAAGAGCTTACCCCTTTTTCACCCAGCACGTGGACTCTGAGCCTGGCCCTTGAGCCACACACACCCTCTTCTTTTATAGCAGCGTGCGGCTCAGTGTAATAAAAGACTAGCCTTCAGCAGAAATAATTTATTAAAAATATCAGCATGAATATTTTTTGTCTTAAAAATTAGAATAAATAAGAAAGAAATAAATGAAAATAATTACTCACACACACAAACACAGATGAGGATATTTAAAAAGAAAGAAAAAAAAACCTGATGGAAAATGAACTTTCTTCCGATATAACGTTGTTATGGAAGCGGTACCATCACGAGAATTTCATCTCGTTATCGAATTCTCGGACGTTTCGAATTCCAAACTTTTCTTCACTTGGGATTCCAGAGGTTATTTTTTTCCGGGTGTTTTGGTTTTAATTTGTAAATTATCTTTCAGTGCGGTTCTGTGCTGATGAGGCTGATATGATGGACAGCACGCGAGAGGCATTTATTTTCTTGAAGGCTTTTATAGTCCAAGAATACCTTGTTTTTCCATATGAGAGAAATAAAAGCCGTCGGGGAAAAATATAAAACCGATTTTTAAACATTATTAAAATACTGTACTGTACTAATAAACATTTAAAAAAAACGAACTCGGTATGCCGCGAATTTTAAATTCCATGGGTTTACTGTTATTGACCATTCGAAAAAAATGGCAAGAAAAATTCATGAGGCTGTCAAAACTTTTAAAAACTGCAATATATATCCTGACAATTTGGACGCTAAGATTTATTTAGTCTCGAGTTCGGATCAACAGCATTAAAATTGTTCGGATTAAGGATACGTTATCGTTCATGACTTTTTTTCCCGGGAAGAAGATTATATGAAACACTCTTCATATAACAGTTCAATCGAGGACCTACAAAATTTGGAAATCAGAAAAATGTTGGAATAAAGAAAACTCGTCAAAGTTCGTGGACACGCTTTCCAATATAATTTTCATGGCGTTAATTCGGTAGTGATGTTATAAAAGTAGACGAAGGCATTAAAACGGAGTTGAATTTAAGGGTCGGTTGTCAAGGAAGGATTTACAGCCGTTTTAACGAGATAGAGTATATGATTAAGTATTCGGGTATTTTCCTCGTACACCCTGTATACGGCCCAACAAGAATAAAGTTAAAATTGAAGTTTTCTTCCGATTTGCATTACCAGAAAAATTTTCTGAAGTATTTAGTATATCTAGGATTTGATGAAGCTCGAAGGTGTAATTCTTGAACTGTATGTTGATGAATTTATTGAGCATAGATGAATTAAATAGAACAAATCTCGTGGAATGAAATGCGGCTTAAAATGAATTATGTGTTTTTCAAAGTAGCCCTCATTAATCTCCTCATTAGTGGAATAATTCTCGGGACGATTCTGAGAAGATTCCACTGAATCACGAATAAGATTAAACTTTCGAAATGCTGACTTGCCCAAATGACGAATGAAGTAATTTTCCTTCTATTTTCTTCTGACGCCACATAAAAAAAATCGCTCAATTAGAAAGAATCTTTCTCTCTCTTTCTCTCTATGTGGACAGTACATTAATTTCCAATTGGACATTTTCGACGATTTCGTATTGACGAGAATGATTCGGTGGTTTTCGTATGGGACAAAAAGTGACGCGTGCAATTTGTCAAAATAACCCAACGACTTTTTTTGCTGTTTTTTTCCTCTCTCGGTTGAGACGTATTTTTTCTCTATTTTTAAACCTTGTGTATGTACAGTGACACCCCCACATGCAGACACCTTGACATGCAGACAATTTGACGCAGGGACACTTATTTTCCAATAAAAAATAATAAAAAAGGCCTGAAATGAGAACACTGACTCAACATAGGGATATTTTGTTTTAAAATTTCAAATACATTTCAGGCCAAATTAAAAGAAACAGATATTTCCAACCCTAAAATTGATGTAAGAAAAGTTCTTGGACATTTCTCTCACCAATTTACCATCCATTTAGATAATTGAAAAAAATTACCTCCAGCTTAGAGGGACTTCCTTCTCTCTTTTTCACTTGAATGTTATTTTTACCAAGAATGCCAACATTTCTATGTACTGTACAGAACAACATTTCTATGCACTGTACAGAGGCATCAATATTCCATTCCCCAAATAATGTCCATATTGTGTTGGAATATATTGATTGAATCAGTTTAAATTGGGCGAAAATTTTTATTTTCATGGAATTATGGTGAGTATTTTGTACATGAAACACCAATTAAAAATTATATAATTTAAGTCTAAGGGAAAATTAGACTTAGGGACATTTTGACTTAGAGACACTTTTGATGACCAATTATGCCTGCATCTTGTGGTCTCACTGTACATGTACTTTAATGCAGTAGTTATTTGTCATACTGATCCCCCCCCCCCCCCGGGGGTGTCAAACGTTCACTTTTACGGCTCCGCAAACCCACTTGAGAATATATGGACAAGTGAATATGTGTGTGTGGAGATGAAGCAGCTGCTTTCTCTGCTGGTCAGTGAAACCGGTTTCTCTCTTCTTTCTTTTCTTTCAAGTAAAGCCTTTTGTGTCAGCATATATATATATGTGTATTTTTTTTGGGTGTTGTTGAGGGAGGCGAATGGCCCGAGAACCGGACGTCCGCATTCCGAAGCCATTAGTGGATTATTTTAGAAAGAAAGTTCGAGTGTTCAGAAATTGCTTTTGCATTCCATCGTACCTTTCTTGGGAGTAATATTTATTGGCATTCTGTCAAAGATAGCAGGGATTTTATCCGAAGTAATTTACTTTTGGGAAATTGAAATAAGCCCACAGTCAATGGTATCGTGAGCCAGAATCAGCGTAATGACTACAATGACTATAATGGTCATAATTTTTGAATTGAAAATGCGTCAGAAGCTGGACGTGAAAATATTCGTTTCCATGTGTATGAAAAAGAGAAG